GTCCGTATACCCGCGCTGCCGCTGCCCCGTGCATTCTTACTCCTTCCGCGCACTGGAGCACCAGCGGGCTCTCTCTCTCTCTCTCTCTCTCTCTCGGGGTGTGTGTGTGTGTGTGTGTGTGTGTGTGTGTGTGTGTGTGCCGGTCTGCTTGTCCGTGAATCTTACGATAAAGCCGCGCACTCTTCTCACACCTACCTCCCGCTTTCCGGCCTCGTGCGCCTGTGCGTGTGTGTGTGTGTGTGTGTGTGTGTGTGTGTGTGTGTGTGTGTGTGTGTGTGTGTGCGCCTGTGTGCGTGTGTGCGCCTGAGTGCCTGTGTGTGTGTGTGTGTGTGTGCGTCTGAGTGCGTGTGTGTGTGTGGAAGCGTGGAAGTGTGTGTCTCTATCACGAGGAAGAAGGGCGACGAAGCGCTGACAAGATAAGCGGAAGCATACGTGTTTGACGTTCTGATTCAAAATGAGCACCTTGGCCTACACTGCCCTTTCGCCCCTCGGCTTTGTGCTGGTAAGACAGGCCATTGAGGTACCTCGTTTAATCATTACGAACGGTGGAAAATGATGATCGGCGGTCAGAGGTGGAAAATGAAGTTCTGGCCGTCGTGGTGACTGCACCAGACCGGAAAGATCGCTTCTATACAGTCAAGGGCAGCGTGCGTCGAGTTCCGCTGACAACGGTAGCTTCTAGATCGAGTCGTTTTCGAGCATGTTTGTCAACCCCCCTTTCTGTCCCATCTGAATATCTGTCACTGTCCACATCAAAGAAGGCTCCAAACTGTCCACATCAAAGAAGGCTCCAAGACTACGTCTCTAGGTAGTTCGACTCAGGCCCCGGCCGAAGTTTGACTCAGGCAGGGGGTAAGTTTGACTCAGGACCGAAGAAGAATGGCTGTCTGTACCCGATTAAAACCGCAACTGAATTCAGTATATAATATATATACAGTTTGTCACAGCCCCTCGTTTGTTGTCCTCTTCTCCCTCTCTGCCTACGGTTTGCCGGGCAGCTCTGTTTTACTATCTATATATCGTCAATATATATATATATCGTCACATATGTATATATATATATATATATCGTCACATATATATATATATATATATATATCGTCACATATATATATATATATATATATATATATATATATATATATATATATATATATCCGCTTTGGTAACCTGAAGCGACATCCGGGGGCACCCTCACACTAGCACTTTCCTAAATGTATCTGAGAGCAATTACGGGCAGACATGGATGAATATGACCGCAAATTTGACGACGTATATATATAGTCATGCAGTCATCTTCAAGTGTCATACAATATACCACTTTGCAAACCTGAAGTGACACCTGCGGCTATACGCCCTCATTTGGCTTTTTTGCTTCATTTGCACAGTTAGGGAGGTAGACCTCTTGAGATATGCCCGCCCCAGGTC